CAGGAGAGTTGCTGCTGTGTATGACTCACAGTTTAGGACATGGCACCACCTCCTAATTCTTCAGTGTAGAAGACATGCAGTGTACAACATGGGTGACTTCTATGCAGAGACATTTGGTACCAGCTATTTGCAGAACTGTGGATGGTCGACTTGCCAGCCACAGGCATGGCCTTGATTGTTTGTATATGTTACAAAGAGTGCTTATGTTTAATCACAAGTCCTGCGTACAAAATAATTAAGCCTGACTAAATTCTTCCTTTGTCCATCACAGCAGATGAATTTCTTTTTTCTAGACTCAGAGTTCTTCTCGATCGCTGGTAAGCTCCAGCCTGGAAGGGTCAGCCTCAACTCCAGCAGCCAAGTGGCTCCCACAGAGCTCCTCAGGGGACGTACCTCACCCTCTGTCATCGATGCCAACTCCTGAAGATGGGTAAGAGCTATTGGGAGAGGAAGCCACTGCAGAGAAGTCAGTGTAGCCGTTTTGTATGCATACACTCTGAAATCCTGTCCTTTGCCACCAGAGTCTCCAGTGCTTAGGGGCCCTGAGGTGCACATCTTCATCACAGCCCATGTGGTGGTTTTTGGATATGCTGGGCAGAGAGAGTTTCGGCATACCAGACTACCTCTGAAGGAAACGTTGTTCAACTCCTGACTGGAGTTTTAGTAACTTACTTCTGGCCATACCGCAGCAATGAGGTTTTGAGCCAAAATGCAGTTTCTTTTCATGCCAAAGTTCTGGTGCAAGTCCCCAGATAAATCAGGCTGTATTTAGTGTTTTTATAGCTTCAGTGATTTTAAAAAGTCTTAATTCAAATGGAGGTCTGAAGTCGGGGTCAGTACTAAGCAATCCATTTCATCCAACATCTGGGAGGAGTTGTCCTTCCAAAAAATACTTCAGTAGCTCGTATGTTACTAAAGCTCTAAAAAATCAGGAGTTAGGTTGAACTCTTTCTTCAGAAACCTCTGTGCTGTGGTCGTGAGTAAGTTCCGCATACCACTCTCGGCTAAAGCTTGTGATCGCCATCAGCTAGCACTGTGCTCTTAATTTCTTGCATGTCATGTTATTCTGTCTTGGGGTTGGATTTGGTTATTAAGGCCCCTCTCTCAACCAATCCTAGCTGAGTAAGAGAATTGTCAGGAGCTGAGGTGTTTTTCCTCTTCCCTCCACTTCGTTAGCTATTTTACTTCCAGTCAGCATAACAGAAGGGAAGGTGCCCCTCAAAGACTGCTCAGCCCTTGGTCTTGTGAGGTTGGGGCAGGGGTTGTGAACATCGGCATCAAACCATTTGGCCATCTCTTTCTTTTTGGGTGGTCAGGGAAATACTTAGGTGATACACATTTTCTAAGCAGGCTTTTGTTGGAAGTAATTTTTCTGATACCATGAGCAACCTTTTCCACTTTCTATTTTCTGTCTGCCACTGCGGGGCAGTGTTTGCCTCTGAGTAATGTGGGGTGATCACCCTTTAATAGGTGCTTTCCTGAACATGGTGCCTTTGAATCACCTCAGAGCTCCTCTTTGAACCATGACGGCACTGTACAAAGAGTAAAGAGATATAAACCTTATGGGGAGTGGGCAGTGATTTCAGGCCTGTTGTACTCAGCTCACTTCCTGGGTTCTGTAAGGCTGAGTTTCAGTGTGGTTTGTGCAGTTCCTCTGTGAGGAAGGAACGCAAATCCACACTTCCAGGGTGGAGATCTGCAGGATGCCACCTGAAGGCATGTTTTTGTGCCCTACAAGGTAGCTCCTACAATTGCAGAGAATTATAAATCGGGTTTTTGTGTTCATTGTCTTCTGGAGTTTTTTTCCCCGCAGTGTAGATCTTTTTGGTGTTGGTCTTACTTTGTATTTTAAGGCTGTCATCTTATGCCTTTCTTTCCCTGCAGGGAGAATTTTGTTGATGTGATAGAAGAGAATCTGAATTACCTCGAACTCTTTAGCAGTATTTTGCAGGAGGCGAGACAGGAGCAGAACAACAGCATGATGGTAAGTTTGCAGATGTGTCTCTGAGGACCTGATTTTGAAGAGCCATAGCAGGGTCCTCTAGGGCTGTGGAGAACTCCTTAATTAGAGTAATTTGTGATGATGTGAGTTGCTGTGGCTGGCTGTAGAGCTTGCATTCTCAACTGGAGAGCCCTAATTTGTGTCACTGTACTGGAACGGGCAGGGTTCTCCATTTCCAGAGCCCTTTCCTGATCATTAAATGAAGCTCAGCTCTTCGCACAAATAGGTGTTTGAAATAGCAAGAAATGACAAAAATAGATAACGATCACCCAGACATTTTGATGCGATCTGAAACTCTGTTCCTGAACTAGTCATTGAGGCCAGTAAGTTACTGCTCAAAAGAGCTGCGTTACCAGAAGAATGAAGAGCACGACACATATACCGGTCTTCTAGAAGAGGCTTTCAGCTGGGTTTAGAGACTGTATCATAGAAGCACCTGTATAAATATAATGAGAAAATTACAATTAGGCATGTAGATTGACCTGTTTATAATGGAGAAGAGTCAATACAGGTTCTATTAGCATGAGATTGTCTCACGAATTTATTACATACCTGTAAAGATGTCAGAGATCTACTGGTACCCTGTAACTTGGATTTTCAGAACACTACTTAAAGGTCTCTTTACGGATAACTTCCATTCTCATGGGATAAAAAAGTTGAAGGTGTTTACGAATTGTAACTGCTGAAATAACAAGGAACAGAGGGTTGGGGAAATGGAGGTGGTTGATAAAATGGAGCTCTTGTAATTCATAAACATTTTAATGTTCTAATGTTTATGAATAGCAGTAAACAGTGAAACAGTGAACTGAAAGTTTACTGGAGTTATTAAGTTATTTGGGATGGTGAAATGAAAACATAGTGAGAGTTACAGATGACACTGTAATAGCAAGGGATTGAGCAATATGAATGGGGAAATGAAATTACCTACTGGTTAAGGCAAAGTAGTTATGCTAGCAGGGAAAACAGCCTTAATTATGCATACCCTCGTCTTTATCCATTGGTTGATGAATGCTTTGTTCAGTTCTGACAGGGTTGGTGTCAATTGTGTAATACAGTCTTCTCTCCTGTCTGGTCTCCTTGCTAAGGAGACAAATGAGAGGCTATGTGACTGGCTTCTTACATGTCAATCATCCATGTCCTGTCATGTCCCATGTATCATGCCAAGGTGCAGCATCTGTCTCTGACATGTTTTAGCCCAGAAAGATCATTCATTGTTGTGGAATCACACTCTGCAGATCAGCACCTGTTCTGTTATGTTTGGTTTCTTTCTCCTTTTCCTTGGATGAGGGGACAGAAGTTAGGCAACAGGAAAGCAGCAGGAAATGGGATTTGTCCTCTTCAATTCACTTTGGAAAAAATGGAGGAAAAAAGAAGTAACAACTCCAAGAACCTTTTCTCTGTTCTTGTTACATTTCACTTGGAGCCTTTCTTTTTCAGTTGTGTTCTTGCATTACAGTATGTCCTGTGGTGCACTAGGAATCCCAGCAGTAGGTTTTGTGCAGGCACACAATGTAATTTCCAAAGGGAGTAGAGTCTGTGACATGCCTGAGCACTAGTGCTACATGCAAGAAGTATGGGGGATTTTGCACTGGGGTTAAACCAAACTGTGACATTGTGAGATTATTTTTCAGCTGTTGGATCAACATGATTCTTTGAGAAGAGAGAGATGTTGGATACTGAGTGTCCTTTGATCACCGCCTTGGAAATGTGCATTCAGTAGCTGGTTCCCATACTTCAGTTGTTTCCTTGCTGCTTCTTTCAGAGTTTTGACTGGAGCTGGCTGAAATAGCCAAAGGAGTCGACATGCTGCTGTCTGCAAAGTGCCTGCATGCTGAGAGGTGGCCTGGCAGCCTTGGGTGTGATGAGCTGGAGGGGACTGGTGAATCAATCACCCTGTGTTTTGTAAACCCTGGTGGAGTTGATTACAAAGGTGGCGGTCGGTAGCAGCTACACCGCTGGCAGTAACAAACACCATTTCACGGACTTGTTGCCTCGTTGGGCCTTCAAGTAAACGAGCAGCCTGCCCGCCGGAGACGCCCCTGCAGCGCCCGCTGCCTGTCCCGGGGAGCC